ATTCCTCATTCCACTGTAACCCATTGCCCTTTCTCAGCACATTGAAAAACTTATGGCATCTGTCGGAGGACCGTGAGATGAACCTAGATAAGGCGGCTATTCGCCCCGTCAGCTTTTGCACCTGTTTTTTGCTGTTCAGTATCTCGGGTATTGCGTCTATCGCCTTGATCTGATCTGTATTGACTTCGATACCTCGTTGTGATACGAGAAACCCTAAGAATTTTCCTGATGCCACGCCGAAGGCGCATTTCTCGGGGTTCAGTTTCATCCCGTACCTTCTCAATATCTCGAAGGTTTCTTTTAGATGGTCGATGTGGTCCTCTTTTCTTGTCGACTTTACCAGCATGTCGTCGATATAGACTTCCATAGTCTTACCGAGCTGCTCTTTGAACATTTTTGTGACCAGCCTCTGGTACGTAGCCCCTGCATTTTTGAGCCCGAAGGGCATTACCTTGTAGCAGTAAGTCCCTTGACCATGACGACATTGGCGACCCACTGGGGGTACTTTGATTCTCTGATGGAGCCGTTGGCCAGTAACTCGTCTACTTCCTTACTGACCGCTTCATTGATAGCGGCGTTGAATTTTCTCCTCATCTGTCGCACGGGCGGATGTAGTGGATCGACATTCAGCTTGTGGGTGGCGATGTCTCGCGGGATTCCCGGCATATCTGAATGGGAAAAGGCGAACAAATCCGCATGGTTAGTTAAGAATTCACAATACTTACTTGGGTTGGCGAGACCGTGCCCGATATAGGCTTTCTTCGTAAGATTGGTTTCGTCCAATTGGACTAGGTCGAGATCTTCGACCGTTGCTTTACAGGCCTCCACGACGTCGGGGTCTTTGATGGCGTCCGTTATCGGGTTGACCTTAGTCCCCGACACGGCTAATTGCTATGCCTCCGCGCTCGCCCCTTTTAGCTGTTGGGTGTGGGCGCAGTCTTGGGCTATTTTGTAGCATTCTTGTGCGGTGCGTGGCTCGCCTCGAATACTGAATACTCCCCATGGGGTTGGGAATTTGATCACTTGGTAGAGGCTTGAAGGGACCGCTCGCATGGCGTGTATCCACGGACGTCCTCTGATGACGTTGTACGTCGTTTCTTGGTTCATCACGTGGAAAGTTGTTTCCAGCGTGACTCCTCCCGCTAAGACGGGCAGTGCTATTTCTCCGGACGTCCGTTCCACTACATTGTTAAAACCGGTTAGTGTTATGCAGCGCGGTATTACCCTATCCTCGAGTCCCATTTGTACGAGGACCCTTGGGTGGATAATACAGGCGCCACTTCCGTCATCGATCATGACTCTTTTAACATCCGTATCAGCGATACGTAAAGTGATAACTAAAGCATCATAATAAGGGAAAGGCAAACCGTCGGCATCAGACTTATCGAAGGTGATACTATCTTCGAAGTCGTCATACCGTTCATGGGCGATGGTCTGCTTTAGTCTGTGTGTGGTGGCAAACTTGACGTGATTGATCACTGACTCGTCGCCGCCTCCGACGATCATGTTTATCGTGCGCGCTGGGGAAGGTAGCTTCGGCGGCCCGAGGGGTTGTTCTCGTCCGCGTGCAAAGTTGATTTTCCCTTTGTCACTGAGTAATTCCCTCAGGTATCCCTGGTTCAGCATCCTGACCACCTCTTGCCGTAGGCCTATGCAGTCTTCGGTTTTGTGTCCCCGTTCCTGATGGAACTCACATAGGGCGTTTGATTTCCTTGTGGAAGGGTCTGATTTCATCTTCTGCGGCCACTGCACCTTGGTGCCCAGCTTCTCTAGTGCATACACTATTTCTGAAGGAGATACACAAAAGTTATGGGCGGTTAATAAAGGGGCGTACCTCTTTCGTTTCGGAGTGGGGCGACGTGTCGCTGTAGCGCGTCTGTATGCCTTGGTGGCGGATGGGAGGATCTGGTGTATGGCTGATGTCGATCCCTGTTGGAGCGGGGGAGTTGTTCTCGTCGTCCTTCGTTCCGTCGATCTCTCCTTGTTTCTGAGTGTATCACTGTTAGTCGTTGGGTCGGCCCATTAAGATCGTCCTCGTCCGCTCGTACCTCGGCGCAATAGGCATTGTGGATTTCCTCCCATGTGGTAGGGGGATATTTCATGAGGCGGCTCAGCAGCTCTTGGTTGCCTTCGAACCATCCCTGCTCAACCCGTTCTGGAAAGCGGCGACTGCCATACCTTCCGATACGTTTGGTAGACTCATCCTTACCCTGTTAAACCTTGCCAGGAAGTCCCTGAGTCCCTCTCCTGTGGTTTGTCTGACGGCGAAGATGTCGTTGACCCTGGCCTCCGCTTTCTTCGCGCCTGCATGGGCTGTGACGAACTTATCCGCCATTTCCTCGAACGTTGATATTGCCTTAGCCGGTAGCTGAGAGTACCAGGTTAGGGCCCCTCCTGTTAACGTCTCGCCAAACTTCTTCAGCAGTACCGACGGTACCTGTTCTTTCGATAGGTCGTTGCCCTTCACAGCGGTGACGTAGTGGATCAGATGATCCTCGGGATCTGTGGTTCCGTCATATACCCTCAAGTATGGTGGCATCTTGAAGGTTTTTGGGGTGGAGTGAGGGGCAGCTTCTTCAGTGTATGGTTGTTCAACGAACCTTCCCACGTCGCGCTTTGGTAGCAACTTGGGGGCACCGGGGATCTTGTCGACCCTCTCCTGATGTTCCTTCATCTGACTGCGGAGCGCCTTGTTTTCATTTTCCATTTCTTCCATCTTCTTTATAGCGTCTCAATTTTCGCTTCTAAAATAAATTGTTTATACTGAAATCATCAGATGCTACTGCTTTGCTTTCTTTGCTTTGGGTTGTTTAAGAAAATTTATACTAAATTCATTCGGCACCTTGTGATGCCTACGAATACAGGATAGAAGATTTATGTTTTTCCCTTTTTCGTTTTTCTTTGTTTGTTCTCGTGCGTTAGCTTTGTGGTTTTTTCTCCGTAGATATTAACTTCTTTTTAATCTAACTATAGCTAATAGATACTAATTATTTATGCAGTAATTGGTGGCTCTTAGAATCTTGATATATTTTCACAAAGAAGATTTATAATACAAACTGTCGTAATATAATTGGGGAATGAGGTTAAATTTTCTATCCGAAATTAAAATTCGGGTATACTTCTCAATAATCTTAGTGAAAAGTTAGAAAGCATATTTAGCCAAATAACATAGTTAGAACCGTCAAAATGTGCTTGGCCCATGAGGCCAGCCCAACCCAGCCCGCTACTTGGGTAGGGTTGGGCTAGGATTTTTTGAGCCAATTTAAAACTGAGGCTTATAAGCCCGGTCTAAGTCAGTCCGCTAGCCTTTGAGGCTTGATCGATGCTGGGCTTGGACCAGCCCGTGGGTCAGAAATTAATTAAATTTAAATTAATTAACTATTAAATATTTTAAAAAACTAAAAACTAAAAAAAAACTATTAACTATAATCTCCATTCCCTAACCCTAGATTGCTCATTTACCCTTCCATATCAACTAGAATTTAGATTTTTGACATGCATGTAATATGACAAAATTAGTTTTTCTTTTGCTTAATATATAACGAACTCAAAAAGTTTTATGTGGTCAATAATAATATTTTTTCAAAAGAAAATATGACTTTGAGCGGCTAATGATTAGTTTGGATTACTTTAATATATTATTTATTTATATTTAAACTGTTCTTCAGGATAGAAAAAGATCAATTTTAAATATGTACAAAAAGATTTGACCACTAGCAAATTTCAGAAATTTTAAAAAATTTATGACTATAATGATGAAATCGGCAAATGATGTTAATCCTAAATTAGAAAACTTCAGCATATAAGCTTGTTGAAGCAATCTTTGAATTTGTGGAATAAGAAAGAAAGTATTAAGAAAATATTCATGTAACTTTAAAAATGAAGAGTTAGAGATATAGAAAATTTACATTTCAATTACGAGATTCCTCGTCAAATATCAAGCTTTTTGTACGCTCTAAGAAAACAGAAGTCGTTTATATGATTAATCGACTACGTCACGAAAAAATATTTAAGGATTTAAAGAAATTCTTTTTTTCTAAAAAAAAATTGAAGGGCCGGCTCGCCCGAGCCCGCAACCCTCTAAGGGATGGATTAGGGTAGCCATTTTAAGCTCCATTCATATGGCGGGCCAGCCCGTTCTAGCCCACCGAATTTAAAAACCCACAAGGCTTGTGCTAGGCTGGGCTGACCTGGACCTTTTTGACAGCTCTAAACATAGTCTGAAAGAGATATTAAGTAGATGCAACAGCATAACATATTACTATCTTGTACAATTAAATATCTATAATTAGAACTACTATATAAGAATTAAACTAAATTACCATCGCCTTTGCAGGTTTAGAAGATATCATTTTTTTAACACAGCTATTGGATCAATATAAATAAATAAATACAATATGCATTTATTTTAACGTTAATTGCTATTCTATACATGATTCATTCTTTTTATATATAACTTTTTCTTATTGACGCGGTATACACGTGCGAAGCACCTACACTAAAACTAGTTATATTAAAAGCAGGAAGCCCATAACTGAAAAGTCAAATTACTAAAATATCCTTTTTTAATATTTACTTAAATATTTTACTTAGTTTAAATAATTAAAATCTATATTATATTAAAAGCAGGAAGCCCATAACTGAAAAGTCAAATTACTAAAATATTCTTTTTTATTATTTACTTAAATACTTTATTTAGTTTAAATAATTTAAAAAAAAAAAAAAGCACACTCAAACGCTACCTAACAAGTTTTTAAGAGACTCCTCTGCCGAAGAGTTGCGATCGTTTTGACTTCAATGAGAGAAGTATTTTTTTTACTTCACAGAGAGGAGTATTCGCTTTGGCGCATTTAATAACCATACTTACTATATAATAAGTGAAACCTTACTTACTATAAAATAAGTGAAACCTTTGGTACGACGAAGGGCAATTCGGAAATATTTTTGTTTCTCAAGGGTGTTTTCATATTTCGTTTATCAGACCTTTCACGTCTCTTTTTTTTTTTTTTCACTTTTTCCTTTACACTCCACTCTCACTTTCTAAGAAGTTTGTGGCTCGGATCTCTCTTCTCCCTCTCCATAGATTCCGTCGCCATGGCATAGAGGTTTCTCTTGGAAATTGCTAATGTTGGTTTGCTCTTTAGCTGTTATTTTGTTCCAATATTAATCTTTTTTCGTTGAACTTGGGTATTAATTTGAACTTTATCTTATTGTTTCTATCTGGGGAATTTTTCTTGCGAGGTTGATGGTTAAATCTGATTTAATTTTTTTACTTCTATTACATGTTTCTTTACCTAATTTGTACCTGCATGTCAACTACACGCAGAGACCCAGGAGACGAGGAGAAGAAATATAAGGAAGAGGCTAAATGAAGTGAAACACAACCATCCATTTGCAGGATTACATCAAAGAATGTCAGTTTCCAGCGCATACCTTCAAATATTTTTCTGTGGGTAGGTTAATTGTTTTTACCACAATTACATACAACTAATCCTTTTTTATTGGTTTAAATATAGGGGTTTTGATTTAATATTAGTTAAAATCAATCAGAGTGTGGGTTTAATTTGGTATTCTTGGTCTTTGTTTGTTGCTGCTTTATATTTCGCCCTTACACTGGCCTCTTCTTATGCGTGGCCTCATTTGTTATAATGAAGCACAGTTGGTAATTTTGGAAGAAAACAGCAACCTCAGGGGTTTATATTCTTCTGTGTGTTTCTGGTGCTTATAAGTGGAGGTTCTTGTGAACGACGAATGGCATTTTTGAAATTCAGTAATTTTGTGTCACTGCATTTAGATAAAGCTTGGGTTCATCGTACCGATTACAAAAGCCCTATTCTTCTCCTTCCCGCTTACGCTTCTATTTCTCATGTTTCACTTTTTTCTCAGTTTCTTCGTCTCACTCTTTCAAGTGTGAGCTCAATGATTTGGGAAAATGCAATATTCCTTTGCTTTTTGCATTATCTGTTGGTAAAATCTTTCAAAGATTATTCATCTTTGTTCTATTTGAATTTGGTGCGAGCTCTCTGATTCAGTGGGTTTTTTGTTCAACTTTTCTCTATGTATTGCACTTGTTCTGTTGATAATTACCATTTGGTGAGTATATGTTAGTTTTCTACAGTATTGTTTTGAATTGCTTGAATTTTTATATGCATGTCAGTAATTGTACCTGATTTGCACATGCATTATGAAATTTGTCTCTATTACCAACTAATCAGTCCACAATTAAACTATTTTACTGAATATTTGAGGTACCAAAATTCAAAAGTGCTTCTGGAAGATTGGGTCTCAGGCGATTAATTGTTTCCTGTCCTTTTGGCTTCATTTTTACTCTGTTACTATAAGTAACTTTCATTCCTCTCCTCTTTCTAACTTTTTCTTTTTTTACTGCTTTCTCTGCTTGGGTTATGAGCTTTAGTTCTTCTCTCGCATAATTTCTGCCGAGTTCTTTTTTTCAATCTCTGATATCTTTTCTTAGTTTCTTTAGTTATTTTATCTGGTACAGTTTTCTATTTTATACTGTATATGCAAATCTAATCATTTTCAACTAAGAAATTGGGAGATGGAAACCCGTTGTTCTGTTTGTTCTCTATTCTATTCTGCTCGCTACCAATTCATGGGCCAAAGGAGGAGAAAAATTGTTCTTCATTTGAATGAGATTAATTTGCTGGCTACCAAGTCATGCAACAAAATAATTGTGGTGATCTTTACTTGGGATTCAATTGAGGCAACTCAATTAAATAAGTGTTTAGTCTTTAGCTCTATTATAGATAACCTTACGTCTTTAACTGGAATTAAGTAATTTTTATGTATGTGATAATATCGTTTATTTATTCTCGTATGCAACCTGTCAGAAGATCCATTTTGGTGCATGATTGAGGGTGAGTTTGTATTTTTTTAGTTGGACGTATTTTTAGAATTTCAATACGAAGAGAAAATATCATCAACCCTTGTAGTATCAAGAAATGTAACCTCTCTATGACAATGGAAGAAGTGTGAATCCAACAGACAACTTCAAGCCTTGATGGTCACAACTGCGTGCTCTTTCATTGCTTGAATAATTTGTGCTTTCTTGATTTTACTTGCAAATGATCTGGTGGTCCTTCATTTGATTCCTATAAAAGGATTTCTGCGTTCCCTTGTGATGGCGATCAATCCATCAACTTCGTGGTATAAAGAAAGAACTAAGGATATTAAAGAACAATAAAAAAGAAAGTATTTAGAGCAGATGGAAGTAAGCACCTCTTTCTTTTTACTGGGTTGGGTGATTCCACATATTAGAATTGCATTGGAAGTTAATAGAAGTGCACTGAAGTTCTATGTTGTTGAGAAGTACTTTAGAAATTAATTGAAAAGTGTAGTAACTCTTTATGATATTAACTCATTCTATGGCTTTTAAATGTGTTACAAAATTATGGAGCCTCTGTAGCTATTTTGATGAACTATTCTCATAGCTAGTTGATTGCTATTTTCGTTTTTCCTCATACAGTTTGTGCCCTTTTGGACGATACGATGGAATACTTTTACTCAGTGTGATATTTAGCCAAACAAATTATCAATTGATGAGTCAGTTCATTTCATTTTTAGTAACTTTCATTTGTGAATCATGGATGCATACGTATAACATGTTGTATATGGATATAAGAGCAAAATTTAATTGAATTTCAATTCTTGATGTGAATTTCTTTAAAGAAGGACCAGACCGAACGCTTAGAGCAGATCAAATTGAAAGCAAGATTTTTGATAGCACCGGAAATCTTTAGAATCAAAGCTCTTGAATAGGTATTCAATGCAATTACTGAATACCTCTTTAGAGTTTAGCTTGAATTCCTTTTTGGAGAACTTTGTCTCAATTCCCATGAACTTAAAGCTGCTGACCAATCTTAATCAGGTTTTCTCTGTTGAGATTTGCCTTAATTATCCTGTCTTGACTTCAGTTAGCTGATAGGACACATGTAAACAGAGATTTTTCTCTACTGGAGTTCTTTTCTGTTGGGGTATTTGTTTAACCTTCTGTTACTTTTTTACAGCAATAGAATTTACAATCTAGATGTGAATTGAAACTACTTTATTTCTCTATAGTGGAGAGTTGTGTGCCTTAGTTGTTTGATGAAATACTTCTTTCATTGAAGACTTTTAGTTACATATTGATGGAGGAATATATGATGAGCATGTTATTGAAATGCACTGCTTCTTATTAATGTGTTAGTTCTTTTTGGATGCAGTGCAATGTGAATTTTATTTGGTGCTACTTCATTATTGTTTGACTAAAGAGTACTTATCTTGGTAGTATGTTACTTCAAAAATGTTGACAACGATCATATTCATTATGGTATTTTCTTGCAGTTTTGCAGGTTTTCTCTCTGTTTTACAGGACACAATTCTAAAATTTGAATACTCTGTGGTAGTTGCATATAATCATTTAAGAAATCTGATAGTTACTTGAATCCTTTCATTTGAAGGTATATTAGAGGAAGATCTCCCTTAACTAAAAATTTATATAGGCATCTGTTATTATTATTCTTCCATTGGCTACATGTTCCTCATCTTGAATATTTAGTCTCTTTGTTTGAATAGCATGCACCGATATTCCTATTTGTTTCTGGATAAGAATGTAAATGAGTCTCTAGAAAGTAAGAAAGTAAGTACATGACTTTCTTTGATTCTGAGTTTCTTTTTTTGGTCATTTAGCGGCTTAGCCGTTGATAATACAAATTCTATTCAACAAAAATGAATGTGAACATAAGAAAAATAGTGTTCAGTGACCACTCTAGGGCCAAACCTTCTGAACTATATGATATTATAGGGAAGGAAGCAGTTTACTTTGTCATTTGTCCTCTACTTGACAAGAAGCCAAGATCATAAAACGCATTTTATTTCTGTATTTTATGGAATGCTTCTATTTTTAGCTTCTTTGGCTCTAAAGCTTCTTAAATGACTAACATTTGTGAAAGGCTAACAGAATGGGGGCTTCATTTTGGGCATGTCCCATTGTTAATTGGCAGCTCAATGAAGAAGCTCAAGACAATCACCATATCTGGGAAGCACTTTGGCTGTTCTACCGAGTGTCCTAACATAACACATAACATTATAGAGGGTCTTATACTGTATCAGGGACAGGGGCTGTATGGATCTACTCTCAGGCCGGTTGAAGTGCTTTCACAGAACCTATATCTTGAACTTGGACGTATCTTCTCAGTTGTCAAGTTGCACTCACAGAGTTGACGAATCGTTGAAAATGCCTTTGCTTTGTTTCCATGCTAGAGCAATGATTTCACATTTATTACTTTTTTACTAAGTGAATTTAGGTGGTTCTAGGGGAAACTTTTTGGTGTTTTGCTGAGGGAAAGGCTTGATGATGCTAACGTTAAGTGCTTCCATTGACCGTAATTGCAAATGTTTTTAGATGAGAGAAATTATGATATTGCGCTTCGAGGTGCTTGCCTTTGTCGTCCATTAATGCAAAAATAATGGTAATGTACAGGATGTGGCGATTCGTCTGTTTGAGTTGTTCGAGCACCATTGAGAATTTAAATTCGTGGTTGTCCCGTATAAATATTTTATTACATTAATACCCTTGTGAAAAAGTTGCAGGAACAACTAGATTACAGCAAACAATAATGTCGGGCATTTGATGCACGGGCACAGACCATCTAGTATTCTATTAGTGATAAGGATTATGGTAGTGTTAACTCAAGAGTATGATGAAATGGCGTGGAATAGACTGTGAAGCAAACAATTAGAACTCATCCATCTTTAATATTCACACACAACTATATCATGGCATCATCCTTCTGTGGTAGAGAAGACATCATGAAGTTCTTTGCTCTTGCCGTTGGATCACTCACCAACCATAGCTTGGATCACTCACCAACCATAGCATGATTTGGATTTTCCTGAGATAAGACAATCAACTTAAATTCCACAACTGGTAGCACTACTGCACTAACGGCAAAAGAAATATATGCATGTCATCCAAATTAATCTTTAAACCGTTCAAATGCTTCAAGACAAATTGACTTTCTCCATATTTGAACCAAACGATGCGACTTATCGGCCTTATTTTCTCAAGATTTATCTTTGGGAAATGATACAGCAAATTCTAAATCTAGCAGCTCCTTAATGTCAACATGGCAACATTTAGCAGCCTAAAACGATAATATGAAGATGACAACAAAAACTTTGTTCTACTTTCTTATGTTATTCATTTGAATTATTTATAAATCCTTTGTGACTTATGAAATCCAATATTAATAGATGCTACGATAAATAATGATCATGATCTAATAATTTATTTTGTGTCTTGCATGCATATTAATACTAGATTTAGCCAATGTTAATGCGTTGGGCTTATACTTGGCAACAATATGATTGAAGGGTCAAATAATTTTGTGGTTCTTTACAAACTTGAATTTAGTTTTATGATCCTACCTTTTTTTTTTTTTTTTTTTTTTTTTTTTTTTTTTTTTTTTACATATAAGATCTTTCTTTTACCCATGAAAGATCTAAAAAGATCATTTTAAGGGCGAAATATAAAGCAGCAACAAACAAAGACCAAGAATACCAAATTAAACCCACACTCTGATTGATTTTAACTAATATTAAATCAAAACCCCTATATTTAAACCAATAAAAAAGGATTAGTTGTATGTAATTGTGGTAAAAACAATTAACCTACCCACAGAAAAATATTTGAAGGTATGCGCTGGAAACTGACATTCTTTGATGTAATCCTGCAAATGGATGGTTGTGTTTCACTTCATTTAGCCTCTTCCTTATATTTCTATTCCTCGTCTCCTGGGTCTCTGCGTGTAGTTGACATGCAGGTACAAATTAGGTAAAGAAACATGTAATAGAAGTAAAAAAATTAAATCAGATATAACCATCAACCTCGCAAGAAAAATTCCCCAGATAGAAACAATAAGATAAAGTTCAAATTAATACCCAAGTTCAACGAAAAAAGATTAATATTGGAACAAAATAACAGCTAAAGAGCAAACCAACATTAGCAATTTCCAAGAGAAACCTCTATGCCATGGCGACGGAATCTATGGAGAGGGAGAAGAGAGATCCGAGCCACAAACTTCTTAGAAAGTGAGAGTGGAGTGTAAAGGAAAAAGTGGGAAAAAAAAAAAGAGACGTGAAAGGTCTGATAAACGAAATATGAAAACACCCTTGAGAAACAAAAATATTTCCGAATTGCCCTTCGTCGTACCAAAGGTTTCACTTATTATATAGTAAATTGTAAAGGGATTATTATGAATTTTTGGTTGCCCACGAATATGGAACTTGAGATACTATAAGTGCTTAACTTATGATTGAAAGTCAATACTGTACTTGGTGTCTAATATTATTTTGAAGAACTTGAAGCACGCACAAGGTTACTTTGTATTGTATATGGTTGACGGTACATCCCTCAGGACCGACTTTATGATATTCAAAGACTGAAAAAGCGTCAACTATTATGTTCTTGAATTAATTTTCCTAATTTATTTATTCAAGATAAGAATATGTTATATGAATAGTCTTCTATGACCCGTTCTCCGAAAGAAGAATAAATTAAACCATTCCGATATTCGCGAGAAGTTCCTAAAATATGTATTGGTCAATCACAAGAACTTATACTTTATTGTATGATGTATAATTATTTTCTGAAATCTTTGTTTTAATAATTTAGGTATTTATAAAATTTCATAAATACCCTATTATAAACGGTTGTCTTTAACTCCCTCTAGATATTTTTTCTATAAGGGTGCAATTAACCATTCGCATACGTTGAGATTGATTCACTTTCAATTTGATATGTCAGGTTATAAAAAGGCACGAAGCCCTTGCTAGACGAAAAGATGCAAAAAATATATTGCATATAAATTGGATTAAATTGACGGATACAAGGACTAACACTTCCAAATTAAATGATGCATTTCATGATAATTCACCAAAACTTGCATGCGCCTTATTCTATGTATAATTACTTACTCAAATCAGTTTTTTAAAATATGTTTATTAATTAATAAAATCGTATACTCCCTCCGTTTCAATTTAGATGAGGTAGTTTGACTCGGCACGGAGTTTAAGAAAAAAAGACTTTTGAAACTTGTGGGCTTAAAAGCTAGCTTAAGGGGTAAAAGCTTTGTGGGACCCTGACATTTGTGTGGTTATAAAAGCTTCCCATTAAGGGTAAAGTGAAGAGTTTAAAGTTGAATTATTTCCAAATTTAAAAATGTGTCATTGATTTTGAAACAGAATAAAAAGTAAAGTACCTCATCTATTTTGAAACGGAAGGAGTATTATTACTTATCTCGACATACACGTGCAATGCACGTGCCGAGAAACTAGTGTTTTTGTTTGACTCAAAAGTTGTTTCACACTTTTTAAGCAAATCAATCAATATAGATGAAGGGGTAAATCATAATCGAAGATAATAAACCCTAGGATGATCTTAGCAATTGGTTCAGACAACAACAATACAAATTGGAGAGAGAGAAGATGATAATCTTCGAGAGATAAGAGAGAGATAATGTTAGAGAGATGAAAGAGAGAGAGCTTGTATTTCCAATAATGAATCCCCCCTTTTACAAGGCTCGGACCCCCCTTTATATAAGAGAGGATCCTTACTTAAATATTAAAAGACAGAAACAAAGTACATGCTATAGAGGGGCTGACGTGATCATGAAGTCGTCCCTCTTATTATTCCTAAGTCGTCCTTCTAGCCGGACTCACATATATTCGGTCGGTCGTGCTGGCTTAGGGACGTGGTCGGTCAAATTCGACCCCATACAGTTAATCCCTCCGCTCGTCGGGGTCGCAGCGAATGCATCCTCGATGGGCGGAATCGGTACCTCCGTTCTGGGAGAGTTTGACTTTGTCAAAGAATTGTGACGTGACAGGCAGGAGACAGTAATCATGACCGTCAGAGCGTCGAAGCGAAACGCCTTTCCCCGTGTGACGTCAGCGCTCGTATGCGTCATCATTGCGCGTATTCTCGAGGTAGGAAATCAGAAGCTTTTGGCGCCTGGTTTCCCGTGCCGATTCGACGTCTGCCTCTTCGATTCTGGCGCCACCCAACCCAATAAATAGGAGAAGGGTTTAACTTGTTCAAACTTTGGTCATTTGTAAGAGCATTCCAACCCTTCAGTGTATATTTTCACATTCTGGTGCATTTTCTTTCGATCGAAACTCTCCTTTTTCTTTGTTGGGTTGCGCACAACTTTTTCTTCACCGAGATCATGCTTAAACCTCGCCGAATCGACGAGAGGGTCCCGGCGGCTGCCCCATCGAACGTGCCGCCACCTTCCGATGGTGGAGAGGTGGAGGGGGAAGAGGACATCAGTCCTCTTACTGTAGAAGCCTTATTGCCAAAGCATATCTTATCTCGAAGTGATTTCAGTAAGGACTCTCCCATTCCGGCTCCAGAGTTTACCGAGTCGTTACAGAATCACTTGGATGACCTCCGCGTGAAATACGGCATACCCGCCCACGTAGAGATGGTTCCGGCGGGGAGGGATCACGTGATGTTCATAGGCCAGGGTATTGTACCTTTTATGAATACCCCTTTTCGATTGGTTACAGCCTCCCTCTTTTCCCTTTGGCGGAGGAGTTCTGCCGGTTCTATAACGTGTGTCCGGCTCAACTCACGCCGTATACTCTGAAGGTGCTTCGGCTGCTGACCAAGTACGCGGAGNTGAGGCGAAAACTTTCAAGTCTGTGACCAAGAAGGCAGTGGTCGAGTTTGTGCATTCGAATATCATCTGTCGGTTTGGGATCCCAAAGGTAATCATCACGGACAATGGTGCCAACCTCAACAGTCATCTGATGACGGAGACATATCAGCAGTTTAAGATTGCGCACCGCAATTCCACCCCATATCGCCCTAAGGCGAATGGAGCAGTCGAAGCAGCTAATAAGAACATCAAGAAAATACTTCGAAAAATGGTGGAAGGGTCCAGGCAATGGCATGAGAAGTTACCTTTCGCATTGTTAGGATACCGCACTACTGTCCGCACGTCAGTAGGGGCGACTCCTTATTCACCGGTGTGCGGTACTGAGGCAGTCATACCCGCAGAAATTGAAGTCCTATCCCTTCGGATTATCGCCGAGGCGGAAATTGATGATGTTGAATAGGTCAAAGCTCACTTGGAGCAACTAAGTTTGATTGATGAAAAGAGATTGGCAGCAGTATGTCACGGACAACTGTACCAACAGAGGATGGCGAGAGCATACAACAAGAAGGTACGCCCGCGGAAGTTTGAAGTAGGGCAATTGGTGTTGAGACGTATCTTACCTCATCAGGCTGAAGCAAAAGGAAAGTTCGCCCCAAACTGGCAGGGGCCATTTGTTGTATCCTGAGTGTTGTCCAATGGTGCATTATACCTGACAGATGTGGAAGGAAAATGTGTAGAAATGGCTATCAATTCTGATGCAGTCAAACGATACTATGTATGATTCCTTTGTCTAGTTTGTACTTGATTGTATTTGGCGTATTTTGAAGACTGAAATGACGAAGGCATTTTGTTCTGCTATCCAAACACTTTATCCTTTGAGCCTCAGTTATTTTCTTGCATACCCCTCTTTTGGAATCAGTAGCAAAGATCAGAAACACAAGCGTGAGAGATAAGTAAAGGGAAAAGAGAAAAGAAAAAGAATGAAAAGAGAGAGAAGAAAAAAGAAGGAAGAAAGGAAAAGAATGAAAGAAAAAAAAAGAAAGAAAAAAAAAAGAAGAAGAAAAGAAAAGGAAAAGAAGAAAAAAAAAGAAGAAAAAAAAGAAAGAGAAAAGGAAGAAAGAAAAGAAAAGAAGAGGAAGGGGAAGAAAAAGAAATGAAAAAATCACAACAAAGTAATTTCTATGACCTGAACTACGTTTGACTTGATCCCGAAAGGGTACGTAGAGGTTCAGTCATACCAAAATAAAATCCAAAAGTCCCCAAGAAAGAAACTGGGGCAGAAGTTGTGTATGTTGTAAGAAAGTTGATTCCGAAAGTTGTAATTTTGAACCCATGTCGAATTGTTTTGAGCCTTTGATACCCTTTCTTTCTAACCCTATCCAAAAGCCCACATTACGATCCAAAGAAAGACCTTCCGATCAGTCTTCAAGAAATGCCAGTCAAGAGGGTAAAGGTAATTCATGTCAGGGGCAATACTCTGGTTCAAGCAGGAAAAATCCAAAATGAGAGAGTCTTATTGGTGAAAACCCTCACGGGCACCGTGAGGCGACGCGAGCTGAGAGAAATGAAAAATGAGAGAGTTTTATTGGTGAAAACCCTCACGGGCACCATAAGGCGAAAGTGAGTTGAGAGAAATCAAATGAGATAGGTCTTTGGGTGAAAACCGTTCAAGACATTGCAGGATGAACAAGGTTAGGGTGTGGTTGAAGAAATCAGGATTATGAAATTCTGGGGCAACAAAGCGTGGCAGGTGAAAGTTGATTGGTTGGACAGATTGGGCCGGTTAGTCCGAAATGCATGGCATGTTCAATGGTACCAACTGTTCCTCTCAGATAAGTTTCTTTTCTTTTCATTCCTTTATATATCGTCCGATTTTGGGATTCTCTTTATCCTTAACTCTCAAGGTCATTGCATTTCATTCTTTTTTGAGGTCTGTTCTTTAAGATGTTTCAATGTCGGTCTCGTCCGAAACAAAGAGGAAGGGATGTCAAGGCTAACTACCAGTTTCCCAGTTGCAAAGCACAACAGGGCCGGAACATACCAAAGATGTCAAAATGCAAAGTAAGACACAAAGGATTATCGGAAGTTTCGTCGATGGATTGGCCAGATAGTTTTGTGGGGAGAGGCAAAGTTTCAGATAAAGGGGTCAGAGAGGTAGAAGCAACAGTCTGGGTATGAAACACTCAGGTCATCGAAGGTCGTGGGGGTTGAAAGTCAGTCAGAAAGGCAAGCGGTTCGGGGCCAAACCAAGAAGCAAGGCAAGGCAAAACACAGCAGCGGAGACGTCTTTAGCAAGAATGCCATCAATTAACCACCATTTTTAAACTGACAAGATTTTTCTCTGATTGAAACAGGGGCAGAAAGTTTTCGTTGGTTTCGAAGAAACCCTCCTTAAGGGATAAAGCAAGCACCAAAACAGGTTTGACCATAAACTCTCAGGACCCTCCTAGAAAATGGGACTAAGTTTAAATTTCAAAA